AGTAGCGCCAGAAAGAATGAAGCAACTGGGTCAAAGCCGAAAGGACACTCAGTTGCAGATGTCTCTGGTGGTGAAAGGAAAGTCCGATGCTGCAAAGATCTATACTCTATAGGAACCTGGAATGTAAGATCCATGAATCAAGACAAGCTGGATGTGGTCAAACAAGAGATGACAAGACTGAACATCGACATCTTAGGAATCAGTGAACTAAAATGGACAGGAATGGGTGAATTTAATTCAGATGACTATCAGGTATACTACTGCGGGCAAGAATCCCTCCAAAGAAATGGAGTAGCCTTCATAGTCAATAGAAGAGTAGGAAAAGCAGTACTGGAATACAATCTCCAAAATGACAGAATGATCTCAGTTTGAATCCAAGGCAAACCATTCGACATCACAGCAGTCCAAGTCTATGCCCCAACCACTGGTGCTGAAGAGGCTGAAGTTGACCAGTTCTGTGAAGGCCTACAACACCTTCTAGAATTAACACCCAAAAATGATGTCCTTATCATCATGGGGGATTGGAATGCTAAAGTAGGAAGCCAAAAGGTAACCGGAATAACAGGCTAGTTTGGCCTTGGAGTACAAAATGAAGCCGGGCACAGGCTGGTAGAATTTTGTCAAGAGAATACAATGGTCATAGCAAACACTCTTTCCCAACAACCCAAGAGACGGTTCTACACATGAACATCACCAGACGGTCAACACAGAAATCAGATTGACTATGTGCTCTACAGCCAAAGATGGAGAAGCTCTATACAGTTAGTAAAAACTAGACCAGGAGCTGACTGTGGCTCAGATCATGAGCTTCTGGTTGCAAAATTTAGGCTTAAATTGAAGAAAGTAGGGAAAAGCACGAGGCCATTCAGGTATGACCTAAATCATATCCCTGATGAATATACAGTAGAGGTGACAAATAGATTTAACGAATTAGTCCTGATAGACAGAGTGCCTGAAGAACTATGGACGGAGATTTGTAACATTGTACAAGAGGTAGCAACTAAAACCATCCCAAAGAAAAAGAAATGCAAGAAAGCAAAATGACTGTCTGAGGAAGCTTTACAAATAGTTGAGGAAAGAAGGGAAGCAAAAGGCAAGGGAGAAAGAGAAAGATGGAAGAGATAAAAATGCCTTCTTAAATGAACAGTGCAAAGAAATAGAAGAAAACAATAAAATAGGGAAGACCAGAGATCTCTTCAAGAAAATTGGAGAGATGAAGGGAACATTTCATGCAAAGATGGGCAAGATAAAGGACCAAAATGGCAGGGACCTAACAGAGGCAGAAAAGATTAAGAAGAAGTGGCAAGATTACACAGAGAAACTATACAAGAAAGAGCTTAACATCCCTGATAACCAAGATGGGGTGGTCACTGACCTCGAGCCAGACATCCTGGAACGTGAAGTCACATGGGCCTTAGGAAGTCTGAGCAACAACAAAGCTAGTGGAGGTGACAGTATTCCAGCTGACCTATTCAAAAACTTAAAAGACGAATCAGTAAAAGTGCTACACTCAATATGCCAGCAAACTTGGAAAACTCAGCAGTGGCCACAGGATTGGAAAAGGTCAGTTTACATTCTGATCCCAAAGAAGGGCAACGCCAAAGAATGTTCAAACTACCACACCATTGCACTCATTGCACATGCTAGCAAAGTTGTGCTCAAAATCCTACAAGCTAGGCTCCAGCAGTATGTGGACCGAGAACTACCAGAAGTACAGGCAGGATTTCGAAGAGGGAGAGGAACTAGAGATCAAATTGCCAACTACGCTGGATCATGGAGAAAGCTAGGGAGTTCCAGAAAAACATCTACTTCATTGACTACGCTATAGCCTTTGATTGTGTGGATCACAACAAATTGTGGCAAGTTCTTAAAGAGATGGGAGTATCTGGCCATCTTATTTGTCTCTTGAGAAACCTGTATGCAAGTCAAGAAGCAACAGTGAGAACTGGACACGGAACCACTGATTGGTTCAAAATTGAGAAAGGAGTTCAGCAAGGCTGTATACTGTTGCCCTGCCTATTTAACTTATATGCAGAGCACATCATGTGAAAGACAGGGCTAGATGAATCACAAGTTGGAATTAAGATTGCTGGGAGAAATATCAACAACCTCAGATATGCAGATGATACCACTCTCATGGCAGAAAGTGAAGAGGAATTAAGGAGCCTCTTGATGCGGGGGAAGGAGGAGAGTGCAAAAGTTGGCCTGAAACTCAACATTAAGAAAACTAAGATCACGGCACCCAGTCCTCTCACTTCCTGGCAAATGGATGGGGAAGAAATGGCGGTAGTGACAGATTTTATTTTCCTGGGCTCCAAGATCACCGTAGACGGGGACTGCAGCCTAGAAATTAAAAGACACCTGCTCCTGGGGAGGAAAGCTATGGCAAATCTAGACAGCGTAGTAAAAAGCAGAGACATCACCCTGCCAACAATACTGCGTATAGTCAAGGCTATGGTTTCCCCAGTTGCAATGTATGGCTGTGAAAGTTGGACCATAAGGAAGGCTGAGCGCTGAAGAATTGAGGCCTTTGAATTGCGGTGCTGGAGGAGACTCCTGCGAGTCCCCTGGACCGCAAGGCAATCAAACCGGTTAGTCCTAGAGGAGATCAACCCTGGCTGCTCTTTAGAAGGCCAGATCCTGAAGATGAAACTGAAATACTTTGGCCACCTAATGAGAAGGAAGGACTCCCTGGAGAAGAGCCTAATGCTGGGAACAATAAGATGGCAAAAGAAGAAGGGGATGGCAGAGAATGAGGTGGCTGGATGGAGTCCCTGAAGCAGTGGGTGTGAGCCTAAGTGGACTCCAGGGGATGGTGGAGGACAGGAAGGCCTGGAGGAATGTTGTCCATGGGGTCGCGATGGGTCGGACACAACTTCGCGACTAACAACAAAAAAATAGTATTTGCCCTTTTTTTTTTTGCAGCCACATCACACTGTTGGCTCATATTTGGCTTGTGATCAGCACTTCCAAGATGCTTTTTGCTTGTGGCATTGTTGAGCCAAGTATTCCCCATCTTGTAAAAATGTATTTGGTTTCTTTTTCCTAAGGACAGAACCTGGTGTTTGTCCTGATTAAATTTCATGCTGTTTTCATCCCAGTATTCCAACTTATCAAGGTCACTTCTATTACCAAACCCTTAAGAAAGTTGAAGGTAGATGCCACTTTCCAACAGCAAACTGCAGATATTACCAGGAAGTTTAATTGCCCTGATATCTCTTGGAAGACAAAATTTGCTAAGCACGGGGCCTCCTGGAAATTCATGAACGGGCTTGCTGAGAGCTAGATTTATCACAGGGTGAGAGTGCAATGAAGGGTTCTCATCAACAGGGAAGAGTTATTTGAGGAGGGAATAGTAGCAGGAAGTGATCATGTAAGTTTTGATACTAAAGCTGGGTGTAATCATAGGTGCATCTTACAGTCTGGGAAAGCTGAGGTTAATAACCTCAAAGCAAGGATAAGTAGCATCCCAGTTACAAAGATGTGAACACCCATTTCCTGGAAGTGAGGAAAGTGAAACTGCCTCTGCCTTCTGTGTGAGGGAGCCATGTCTGCCACTGCCGCTGCTGCTGGGAGCACTGTCCAGGATCTCTGCAAGGAAGCCACTTGCTCCATCTGCCTGGATTATTTCAGGGATCCCGTGATCATTACAGAATGTGGGCACAATTTCTGCCGAGCCTGCCTGAGCCAGTACAGTGGGGAATCGGATGTGCAGGCCTCCTGCCCCCAGTGCAGGGGGACCTTCCAGAAGAGGAACCTCCGGCCCAATCGGCAGCTGGCTACTGTTGTGCAAATTGCCAAGACCTTAAGAGAGCAGGGGGTCAAAGGGGCTGAAGGGAAGGAGCAAGTCTGCAGCAAGCACCAGGAGCCCCTGAAACTCTTCTGCAAGGACCATGAAGCCCTCATCTGCGTGGTGTGTGACAGAGCCAAGGAGCATAGAGACCACCAGGTGGTTCCTCTGGAGGAAGTTTCCCAGAAGTACAAGGTAGGAGATCTGTGATGGGGAGGGGACATGCCTGAGGATTCTTCTTGGATTCTCTCTGCACATTCAGTCCAATTAGAAATCACTGGGACTTATGTATTGTGTTTGAATACTGCCTAATGGCACAAGCATGAAGACAAGTGACATTCATGCTCTTTGTTATGTAAACAACACTTACAGGAAGCCTTGAAGGCTCAGGATGCAGGGAGTGGCCGGAGGGGGATGTGACTCTATTTTTCTTTTCTTGCCTCATTCTGTAGCAAACACAGAGTATGTCGAACTGAACATGAGGGAGCAAAACGTTCAAGGGCCTGGAGCAATTCCCCTGTGAGAGAACGTTTGGCATCCTTTAGATTAGAGGAAAAAAAGACAGTGAAGACAAGGCACAATCGAGGTGTATAGCAGTATGCCCAGCGTGTAGAGGGAAAAGATGGCCTCAAGCCCTCCTCTACCGCACATGGTCCTCCGAGTAAACGAGCCGAGCCCGCCCCCCGAGTGTCGCCCCTACGCTCTCCTCCGCCCGCTCTGTCGAATGAGGAGTTGCTCGCCGCACGCCGGCGCTGCGAGGGGAGCGGGGCTGCGGCCGCGGCCCTTGTGCTCCCCGCTCGCCGCCTTTCCCTCGCTCTGCACGGAGCGTGGAAAGTGGAAAGTGCCGCGGGAGGGAGGGCGGGAAGCGAAGGGCGAGCGGCCGGCAGAGAGGCCGGCAAACTCGGGGGGGGGGGGGCGGGGAGCGGGAGCGGCGCCCGGCAAAGGGCTCGCTTCTGCGCCTGTGCGGGTGGAGGAGCGCGGCGGCTGGCAAGCTCAGGTGAAGGCAAAGCAAACTTGGATTAAAATCAGGCCAAGGCATGAGAGCGGAAGGCCCTGGAGCGGAGCAGCCGTGGGGCTCCCCTTCACCTGAGGGAGGAGAAAGGCCGGTCTATGTAAAGAAGCCAGTGTGGAGTGGGGGTGAGAGTGTTGAACTGGGGAGCCAGGCTGTCCCGGTACTGGTCTTCACTCGGCCATGGAGCCCACTGGGTGACTTTGGGCCAGTCACTTGCTCACAGGCCTACCTACCTCACAGGGTGGTTGTTCAGAGGATAAAACAGAGCTAAGTAAGTTGCCTTGTAATAATATGCATGATGATGATGGGGTGCATTGGTTAAAAAATGTGGTCAGGCATCAACAGCAATTGTTCACATGAAGTACCACAAGCAGCAGAGAGATGCTGGGCACAGCACTGGAGCAAAAGGGAATGGATGGAAAGAGAAAGTAGGAGGGTGAGAGAAGGTCTGAGCGTGATGTTTTATACGAGGTTGCACTACAGGGTCGAGAGCACTAGTGTAATACATAGAATCATAGAATAGTGGAGTTGGAAGGGGCCATGAATGCCGAGTCCCACCCCTGCTGTTGCATAAGATAAGATATATAATATTAATACTACACTATACCATACCACACCACACCATACCATTCTGCTAATAATATGTAAGTGGGAGGGATTTGTCACCACAAAGGTGAGTTAAAACACTTAAAGAAACATCTCTTTCGTGGCAGCATAATGTAAAGGGTTTAGAACTGTCAGGCGAGCTCGAAGCAGGATTATTGTTGTCCTGGGTCAGGGATGGAAAAGCCCAATAACAGGACAATTACAGGCACTGAGCAGCTGGCATGGTGTCAGGCAGGCAGGCAGGCAGGAAACACAAGGAACAAAAGGACAAGTCTGGCCAACAGGAAGAAGCAAAGACACTAAAGCCATTTCAGCTTTCTGGGTTTTATTTGCCATTAGGAAAACCTTTCACTAGCCTGAACAGGTTGTGCAGTAGTTTTTTCTTTAGCCATGGGATATCTATGAAGAGTAAAGTATTTTAAGCTTCATATTTAAGCTCAAAATATGAGGAGAAGACGCCTCTACCAGGCCCCAGTTAAGTGCACATATGTTCAATTTAGGTGGCTCAGTTGATTTTTATTTGCTTTTTGTAATTCTCTGGGATGGTGTAAATTGGTGTCCTGCATCAGCAATGGGTTGAACTCCATGGCCTTCATGGCTCCTTCCAACTCTACTATGATGCTGTGATTAACACTAGGCCCACTATAGCCCATCTGTACCACTCACAGACTGCACATTTATTAAAACAGCCAAATTATGAAGCTCCTAGATTAGAACACTGCCAAAGAGACAAAGAAAAGGCTCCAGATTTAAAACAGACATATTTTAAAGTTTTAGAATATTTAGAGAATTACATCACATCCATGCCATGCCCAGTCTCCTTCCTGGTCAGTGTTAAAATCTTAGAGCAGTGATGGCGAACCTTTTAGAGACCGAGTGCCCAAACTGCAACCCAAAACCCACTTATTCATCGCAAAGTGACAACACTGCAATAAAACATGAAAACTGAGGTTTTAGAGTAGAAAAAAACAACCCACAGCCAGTCCAAGCAAATATAGATATATCCTTGGCAGCGGACTGACTGGCCATGCGAAAGCTCAGCCCAGGGGGGACTAATGAGTTGCAGCTTGCGACATCATTGCCTGGCACCACTAACCCTTTCTCAGCACGCGCATGGCCCCTAGGTACCCTGTGAGCTGATGATTGACTGCTGAGGCTACGCACAAGGCCACTTGGCCCTCATGCAGATAGAGAGGACTGTGCATGCCCACTGCAGCACGTGCCTGGCAGGGGCACAACCACTGGCATAGCCTGACCCTGGCACACTCCCCTAACCCTAATGTAGGGCTAAAATTCCATTGAAAAGAGGGCGATTTTGAAAAAGCAGTCTTGAGTAGTTTTTTCGGCACAGCTCATCATTCCTGCCCATTCTAAACACATCCCAAACATTAAAGTTTTTCTAACCCCAACCCTACCCTGGTGCACACCCCTAACCCTAATCGAGGGGTAAAGTTCCATTGAATAGAGGGCGATTTGAAAAAGCCTGCCCTGAGTAGCTTTTTCTGCACAGCTCATCATTTCTGCCTAAGTGAATCCCAACCATCGAAATGATACCAGGACACCTCGTTTTTCTAACCCTAACCCTACCCTGGTGCACACCCCTAACCCTAGTATAGAGGTTAACTTGCATTGAATAGAGGGCAGTTTGAAAAAGCCTTTATTTCGTCGATTTTTCTGCACAGCTTGGCATTTCAGCTCATTCTAAACACATCCGAACCATCAAAGTCATGCCAGGACACCTCGTTTTTCTAACCCTAACCCTACGCTGGTGCACACCCCTAACCCTAATAGAGGGGTAATGTTCCATTGAGAAGAGAACGATTTGAAAAAGCCTTCCTTGAGTAGCTTTTTCTGCACAGCTCATCATTTCTGCCTATTCTAAGTAAATCCCAACCATCGAAAGGATACCAGGACACCTCGTTTTTCTAACCCTAACCCTACGCTGGTGCACACCCCTAACCCTATTCGAGGGGTAAAGTTCCTTTGAATAGAGGGCGATTTGAAAAAGTCTTCCTTGAGTAGCTTTTTCTGCAGAATTCTTTATTTCTGCCTATTCTATGTGAATCCAAACCATCGAAATAATACCTGGACACCTGATTTTTCTAGCCCGAACCCTGCCCTGGTGTACACACCTAATCCTAACCCAGGGGTAAAGTTCCATTGAGAAGAGAGCTATTTGAAAAAGCCTTCCTTGAGTAGCTTTTTCTGCACAGCATTTCATTTCTGTCCTTTCTAAACAAATCCCAACCGTCGAAGTCATAGCAGAACACCTTGTTTTTCTAACCCTAACCCTACTCTGGTGCACACCCCTAACCCTATTCGAGGGGTAAAGTTCCTTTGAATAGAGGGCGATTTGAAAAAGTCTTCCTTTAGTTGATATTTCTGCACTGCTCATCATTTCGGCCCTTTCTAAACACATCCCAACCATCAAAGTCATGCCAGGACACATTGTTTTTCTAACCCTAACCCTACCCTGGTCCACCCCACTAACCCTAATATAGGCGTCAAATTTCATTGAGAAGACACCGATTTGAAAAAAGGCTTGCTTGAGTAGCTTTTTCTGCAGAACTCTTCATTTCTGCCTATTCTAAGCGAATCCCAACCATCGAAATGATAGCAGGACACCTCATTTTTCTAATCCTAACCCTACCCTTGTGCACACCCCGAACCCTAATATAGGGGTAAGCTTCCACTGAATAGTCGGCGATTTCAAAAAACCTTCCTTTAGTCGATTTTTCTGCATGGATTTCAAGAAATCTCCAAACGCATTGAAGAAATTGACCTCCGAGAGATACTTGCCAAGCACCATCCTTATACGCTTTCTGGCTCCTGACCAGGATGTTCTTATTCAAGGAACATTTTAAGCGTTGATTATTTTAGTTGGAATGTGATTTTATTTGGTATTCTTAAGTATAGATTCGTTTTTGTAATTGTGATGTTTTAAGATTTTTCCAAGCAGATGTTAAGCTACTGCTCGTTGTTGCTGTCGTGAAGGTGATGTTTCCATATTTTTATCATTGATTGATACTTTGGTTTTAATTGTTTAGGAATGGAGTTTTATGTTGTTGGTTTTTTTATGTAAACATTCTAGAGAGCCATGTGGCTACGAGATGGTATATAAAAATGCTAAACAAACAAATAATCTGAACCAACTTTTTGACAGGTTGCCATGTTGCAGCAGTTGTATGCGCATTTCAGTGCTTGCTAAAGACCACCAACTAGTAATTCATAGGCTATAATGTGGTAAAGAGGACACTGTAGAGATGGCTTCCTAGGTACAACGATGGAAGACACTAACAAACATATTGCTCGATTCGCCTTTCTTTAAATCCAAAGTGAACTGCTGTTCTCCCCCCAGGATCTGCTCCATCATCGCCTGGAGATCCTGATGAAAGAGAAACAAGGGATTCTGGGATATAAAGCAGAGGCAGAGAGAGAAACCCAAGAGCTGCTTGTGAGTATGAATAACAGTATAAGGAAGGCAACGAGTACTTTATCCAAAATGAGTAAAAATGTAAGGCAAAAATCTGCAGATTGGAAAGGTCCCCAAATGTAGCAGAGTATGTGTTATTCTTTCGAACTACCTCACCTGCCACAATGGTTGTTAATATGAGGCCAGTTCTGAGAGGGGAGTTCCTTGAACATCTTTAGGAAGAGTAGCACTGACTCCGTCTCTGGCTTCCTTTCTCTCCTTGCAGAAGCAAATAAAAACGGAGAGGGAAAAGACAGTGGATCAGTTCAGAAATTTACATCAGTTTCTGGAAGAACTAGAGAAGCTTCTGTTGACCCAGGTGGACGAGCTGGCGGAGGAAGTTGCAAAGAAAAGGGATGAGCAGCTGGCCAAACTCTACAGGGATCTCTCCTCCCTTGAGATTATCATCTGGGAGATGAAGGAAAAGATTCAGCAGCCACCAAGCAAACTCCTGCAGGTAGGAGGGGGCAGCAACATGGAGGGGATTTCTCCAAGGGGACACAGACATCAAAATCATCATGGCCGGAGCACATCTCTGCAACACCCACTGAACACCCTCCTCTTTCTCTCTTTCCCCTCCAGGATGTGAGAAGCACCTTGCAGAGGTGAGTGCGTCCCCCTCGTTTCCACTGGTGCAGGGAAGGGTCTGGACGGCACTGGGAGAACCTGCTTCTCCAGGCTCATGAGCAGAAGACAACAGTCTCCAAGATCTCACAGATAAAAGCAGGGCACTGCTTTTGAACTTGTAGTGTTTTTGATCTTCCTCTCCTCCATCACACACAGCTGAAGGTTTATTCCTGTCTGCAAAACACATATTCATCCCCACCCCACAGTCCAAACATTCACTCCCCAAAGGTTACCATGTTACCATGGGGACCACTCAGGGATCTTTGGCGATTGGTTGGAATAAAGATGAAAATATTATTAACATTAATATTAATATTAAGTTGCCCACCCCTGCTCTCAACTAGTTTTCCTTTGCTCTCATCAGATTAGATTCCCTCATAGAATCATAGAATAGTAGAGCTGGAAGAGGCCAAGAAGGCCATCAAGTCCAACCCCTGCTAGTGCAGGCCACTAAGTTACACTCTCCCACTCAGATGGCCGTCCAGTTACACCTTGAATGTCTCTAGTGTGGGAGAGCCCACCACCTCTCCAGGCAGCTGGTTCCACTGTCATATTGCTCTGACAGTGAGGAAGCTTTTCCTGATATCTAGCCTGAATCTGGGCTGTTGCAACTTGAATTGATTATTCCGTGCCCTGCAATCTGACTTCAGCAAGAAGAGATCTTGACTTTCCTTTTTGTGACAGCCTTTGAGGTAGTTAAAGAAGGATATCATGTTCGCCTTCAGTCTTCTTTTCTCAAGGCTGAACATGCCCAGTTCTCTCAGTCTCTTCTCACAGGGCAGTATTTCCAAACCCTGGATCATTTTTGTTGCCCTCCTTAAGCCCCTTTCTAATTTTCCTGTATCTTTCTTAAATCTTGCTGCCTAGAACTGGACACAGTATTCCAGATGAGGTCTGACTAGCAAGGAGTATAGAGGAACTACTGCTTCTCATGATTTGGATATCATACTTCTATTGATGCATCCCAAAATAGCATTTGCTCTTTTGGTGGCTGCATCACATTGTTGGCTCATGTTTAGCCTATTGTCCATAATAACTCCAAGATCTTTTTCTGTTTCAGTTCTGCTGAGCCACATACTCACCGTCTTGTATCAATGCATTTGGTTTCTTTTTCCTAGGTGGAGAACTTGGCACTTGTCCTTACTGAATCTCATTCTGTTGTTTTGAGCCCAGTATTCAAGCTTATCAAGATTGCCCTGGATCCTCATTCTGTCTTCTAGGATGTTTGCTATTCCACCCAGTTTTGTATCATCTGGAAATTAGATTATCTTTCCTTGTACTTCCTCATCCAAATCATTAATAAAGATGTTGAAGAGCACTGGGTCCGGGACTGAACCCTGTGGCACCCCAGTGGTAACCTCCATCCAATTTGAGAAGGTGCCATTGATGAGCACTCTTTGTGTCCGATTTAGCAGCCAATTTTGGATCCACCTAATAGCTTTCCATCTAGTCCATTTTTTTTGCTAATTTGCTTATCAGAATGTCATGCGGCACTATGTCGAAAGCTTTGCTAAAGTCTAGAAAGATTATGTGCACAGTGTTCCCTTTGTCCATTTGGGAGATTACCCAGTCAAAAACTGAGATTAAATTAGTCTGACAGGATTTATTTTTGATAAATCCATGTTAGGTCCTGTTAATCACTGAATTTTCTGCAAGATGCTTGCAGATGAATGTTTTAAATTATTTGCTTCAGAATTTGAACAGGGATTGATGGTCTGTAGTTCCCTAGTTCATCTTTTTGCCCCTTCCTGAAGATAGGGACAGCATTAGCCCTTCTCCAGTCGTCTGGCACTTCTCCTGTTTTCCAAGATTCATTGACGATAATAGCCAGCGGTTCTGAGAGCTCCTCCACTAGCCCTTCAAGACTCTGGGATGGAGTTCATCGAGCCCTGGAGATTTGAAAGTGTTTATTCCATCCAGGTGTTCCTTGTCTGTCAGTCTTGGGCTGCCATCTCTCACTTCCAGCCGGTATTTCCTTTTGATTGCAGATTTCCTTGTGGAAGAAGACTGAGTGCCTCTGCCTTCTCCTTGACATCTGTTATTGCTCTGGACACCCTTCTCTTTCTCATGTCTTTTGTTCTGGATGTATCTGAAGACTTTCTTGTCATTCTTAGTATCCCTTGCTATTCTCGGTTCTTTTCTTGCTTTAGCCTTCCTGATGCTATTCCTGCAATTCCTTGCTATTTGTTTGCATTCTTCCTCCATGGCCTGGCCCTGCTTTTACTTCCTGTACATGTTTTTTTCCTTTTCTTTCAGGCTATCACTGAACTGTTTGTGAAGCCACATGGGCTTCCTCTGCTGTCTTCCTTGATGGAATTGTGGTTGTGCTTGGAGAATCTCTTTTTTCCAAGATTTCCTACCCCTCTTGGACACCTTTCCCCTTGCCATGGCACTTCACTTATCATTTTTCTGAGTTTGTTAAAGTTGGCTTTCTTGAAGTCCAGGATGCTTGTTTGACTCCAGTTACCCCTTGTCTCATTCATTCATTCATTCATTCATTCATTCATTCATTCATTCATTTAGAGAACTTATACGCCGCCCCCTTCGCATAAGCCTCAGGGCAGCTTCCAATCATAAATAAATTCCATCATACAAATGCATAAAATAGTGGAGACATCCTGGTGAAATTTTAAAATCAATAAATAACATTTACAATTAAAATAACGTCTAAATAAAAAGGTCTTGGTCTGGTGCCAAAAAGCGAATAACGACGGCACCAGGCATCTCTTAAATTCTCTTATATTGAGAATTTAAGCATCGCATGGTCACTTTCCCCGCGAGTTCCCATGGTTGTATTTGTCCACCAGGCCATCCCTGTTAGTTGGTATTAAATCCAGGATAGCTGACCCTCTCGTACCTCCCTCTGCTTTCTGCTGGAGAAAGCCGTCAGCAACACATGTCAGGGATCTCTTGGAGGGGCCACGTTTGGCAGGAATTGTGTCCCATCAATCTGAAGTCCCCCATGATGACTGCATCATTCTTCTTGGAAATGCTGACCAGTTGCTTTTTGCAGGTTGCACCTTTGTCCTCTGTTTGACTGGGCAGATGGTAATATAGGCCAGTAACAATGTTTTGTTTTGTTTTTGCTCCCTTTAAGTTTAGCCAGATGCTTCCAATGGGGCTACTAGATTCCTCTTCTTGTATCTCTGTGCAGCTATATGTGTCCCTTACATATAGTACAGCTCCACCTTCCTCTTTGTCCTTTCTATTTCTCTTAAACAGGTTGTCTCCATCACTTGTAGAACTCCAGTCATGTGAGTCATCTCACCAAGTTTCAGTTATTCCTATAAGATCATAATTGCCCTTGTGTACTGTGAGCTCAAGTTTGTGCTGTTTGTTTCCCATACTCTTGGTATTGGTGTGGAGGCATCAAAGTTCATTCTGGCTGTGCCCTGGCTTTCTTCCTCCACTTTTTGGGCGACTGGTGTTGAGCCCTGCTTGCGGTTTTTTCTCTGTTGAAATAGGTAAGTCTTTGCCAGGTGATGGCATGCCCTGCTGCACATCTCCCTCCCCTGTAGGTTTTAGTTTAAAGCTCTCCTGATGAAGTTTTTCATGCAGAGGCCAAACATTTGCTTCCTGTTCTTTGTGAGCTGCAGCCCTTCATTTGCCAATAGTCCACCTTCCAGGAAGCTTAGCTTGTGGTTGCAGAATCCAAATCGCTCTTTACAGCACCCCCCTCATAGCCACTCATCCCATTGAAGGATTTTTCTTTCCCTAACAGTTCCTCTTCCATGTACTGGTCGGATCGAGGAGAAGACTATCTGGGCCCCAGTGTTTTTTATTTTCCTCCCTAGAGCTTTGGGTCTGATGACCTGAGAGGCCCCTTCTGACTCGCTCTGTTTCTGTGTTTCTATGTTATTTCAGTGAAGCTTCCCATGGCAGTGTCATTAGTTCCCATGTTGAAGAGAAGGAAGGGGTATTTGTCAGTGGGTCGTACGAGTCGTGTGAGCTTGCTGGTTGTATCTTTAACCTTGGCGCCAGGGAGACAGCCTGCTTGGCGATTCTCTGGGTCATCGCGACATACGTATTTTTCCATCTTGCGCAACAGGGCATCTTCCACAACTATCCCTCTTCTCCTTTTGGTGTTGCAAACTTTGCCATCCTTTTCCTTGCTTGATTGGCCTTTTGTCTCTTTTGCTGAGTTCCCCAGTGTGTTGTGCAGTTCTTTCACAGTGGGTTGCTCACACATCCCCCCCTCAAGTCACATGAAGCAGCTCAAGAGTTCCACTGCTTCCACGGGTGTTTTCTAGGTCTTCTGTGTCTAACTGGCACCCGTTCCAGCGAGTTTCCGCCTTTTCCCTTCCTCGGGCTTCTCTTCTGCTGCCTCGGCTTGCTGATGCTCTTCTTGCTTCTGGACTACACTGAGCTGTTGCAGCTCCTCTGCTCTGTCTAGAAACTCTTGGTTTCCTTTGACTGTGCGGAGGGTGGGCACTCGCTGCTCCAGCGCTCTCACCTGGTCCTGTAACAGGGCTACTTGTGTGCGGCAGTCGCAGGCCACCACTGTGGCGTCTCCTTGGTGCATTGCTTGTGCCACCGCCTTTGGGGGTTGGAAATAAGGTGAAATAAAGAAGAGAAACAAAGCGTGTGTGTATGTGTGGGGGGGATTAGATGGGTGAGAGATGACCTTTATTTTACCTCACTAGGAGTGAAAAGGAGCCCTTTGACAATCCAGTGACTTTCCATCCAGAGCTGAAATGGAGGATCTGGGACTTCTGTGACATAAATCCCTTTCTAGAGGGAGTCATGAGGCAGTTCAAAGGTACTGAGATGTGGCTGGGGAGCTTCTGTGTTGTGTGCTATTTTCTGCTTGCTGCAAATGGTAGCAGCAGCAGCAAGGGTTTCACTTCTGCGGTCGGACTATGGTTTCTTTTCCCCAGGGACCCCACAGGGAATGCTGTCCATTTATTCCTCCCCTTTCCTTCCTTTTAAGTCGGGCTACAAAACTGTTTTGAGGTAGGTGGCAGATTGCCCACCATCACACCTGTCGCATGCCAGATAACATCCCCTCTGCCCCTGCTCTTGGTTTTTGTTGCTCTCACTCTTCAAGGTTGTGGGCAGAGGGGAAAAGGGAGCAGCCATCTGGATCAGCCTCACAGGAAAGAGAGCAGCTTGATCCTGGACAGTGTGTTTGCAAACACCCTTGATTTTTAAAGGATAATCAGGCAGGACGTCCCTTTGTATAAGCCATGCTGGGCCTTCCTCAGCAAGATTTATCTTCTCTGTGTGAGGAGTCCCAGTGACCAAGTTTTTCAGCTCTAGTGAAGAAGCACACGAGAGTAAGGCAGGCAGGGAAGGCGGGCAGGAGCAAGAAATCTTCCTTGCTTTTTCATAGTAAGGAAACTGTAAGTTAATACCTTGAAGTAACTCCTCACCTTATCCTAATGAGTAACTTAGTTTTCCCAATAAACAGACTCAATGATACCAATTAAACAGCAATGAGAATAGCTCAGTTATGAAGGGAGAAAGCCAGTGGGAGTGTGGGAATTATCCAGTGTATGAGTGCAAATGTATGACTCCTGCAAGGTGTAAAGAAATGGTGAGAGCTCTCAGGGGAAACGTTTGTTTCCTCAAAGCCGAGCTGGCTGACGTAGAGGAGCTAAGAGAGGCAGAGTGATTGGATGGGACCTTTGGGAACCTCTAACATAATTTCCTCTGATGACATGGAAAACAGGCGTCTAGGAGAAGGAGGGCATCATTCTGAGGAAGAAGGGACGCTCCCCCAGAATGATCTTGGAAGTCCAGCAAGTATCTCCTCGTGCTGGCTCTGGGGGTGGGGGAGCTTGTGGAAGTGGGAGCCTCCGTTTGCCCCAGTGAGTGTGTCATCTGCACTGGGCACGGAAGGGGGTGCTGCTTGGGCAGTGTGTGGGTGCCCAGCAGGCTTGCTAGGAACTTGCAGTCAGGGCCACTGCAAAATGGACCGGATCCAGGGAGCCGAGCTCAAGGAACCAAATGACTTCCCACCCCAAACGGATTCCTCACGCAAACCCAGTTCATCCTGTGAAGCCCTGCGTGGCCTAGGGCTGCACCATCCGACAGAATGCCTCTCCTGATGAGTCCATGCAGAACATTTTATCTACAACTGAGAGTCCCCAAGGAAGTTTCAGGGGGTGACAACATGAAAGGAGACTCAAAAAATGGTGGAAAGACTAAAATGTAGTATAAATGTTATTGAGAAATACTTTTATTAAGTTTTAGTATTGGTACATGACCTGATCCTTCATCTTCACACGTTTTGCTTCCCCAGATACCTTACTACCTGGACTACATGTAAAGAAAGGTAAATTTCCAATGAGAACCAAGTTCACGGGAGGGATGAGGCCTAGCCAGACATTTTGCTGGCTGTACCTCATTGGGGTGAACCTGTCCTGCCCCATACTGAAGCCAAGTCTTTGTCAAGAGGAAACCTGCTGATGCTTGGAGCAGATGGATTCGGACAGGGTTTGCCCCAGCCCTGGTCTGGACCCCGCTCCCCAAATTACTAGGATGAGGCAGGTGAGGGTGCAAGCAAAGCCTGATCAGGAATCGCACAAAGTAACATGCTGGGGAAGCGTTTTTGTTTTCCCTTTGCATAGTTGACCTGAAGGATGCAAGGGGCAGGATCTAGACGGTCTGAATAGGTCACTAGCATGCAGTGAATGTGAGACGGAGAGGCGAGGCTTGAGGAAACAGGTTTTGTTATTTCTGCTTTGAGGATGCCAGTTATTTATGTTGATTTACACTGAGTTGTTTCCATTGTATTTGATTTTAGAGGGAATCTGTGGCTCCAAGTTTGTTTTATGTATTGTAAGACATTTGTATGCCGCCCTTTGCGAGGGCCCCAAAGGACTCTGCTCACCGTTTCTTTTCTTCCCCTCTCTCCTCTCTGTCCCCAACAGCAACTATAACTCTGGATCCAGACACGGCAAATCCAGACCTCGTCCTGTCTGAGGATTGTAAAAGTGTGAGATGGGAAGAGAGTTGGCAGTATCTGCCTGACAATCCAGAGAGATTCAATTGCCACCCTATTGTGTTGGGATGCCAAGAATTCACAGCAGGCAGGCACTTCTGGGACGTCTGTGTGGAAAGTGGGGGAGACTGGGCTGTGGGGGTTGCCCGAAAGTCCGTGAGGAGAAAGGGCACTTCTAGATTGTACCCTGAGGAAGGGGTCTGGGCTGTGAGGAATTTTGAAGGGGCCTACCAGGATTTAAACCCTCCTGGTTTCCCTCATCTGCCTGCAAGTAGGGAGCTGAAGAGCATCCGAGTGAGTTTGAACTGCAAAGGGGGACGGGTGGCTTTTTACAACACTGACCAAGGGACCCTCCTCTACGCCTTCACTGGGGCTTCATTCTCTGGAGAGACTCTCCTGCCCCTATTTTATGTAGCTGGCAAAGACGGGCTCACACTCTCTTCTTAAGGCAGTGATGAGCCTCCTCACAGGCCCAGGCCAGGCTGATTCCTGTAAAATTCAAGCCTTCCTTAGTTGTTTCAGTGTTTCCCTTCAGGAAAGGCTGTCCAAAGGCCTCTAGCTAAGGTCACCTGAACAAAAAGAATTAAATGGTGCCCAAGTTCCTAGCAATCTCATTATTAACCCAGCTCTGTTCCCAGAAATGGTGTGGCTTCCACAAACCTCAGCTCTCATGTCTGTTTCCCTTTCTCGCCTTTTCCACAATACCATCCTCCACTAGCTTAAGGTGCAACAGGAAATCCAGCAGTGAGGTCTGAAACACACTACTCTCTCCATCCATGACTGTTCCTCAGAGAGCTTCTTGTGGTGTTTTCCCCCAAATATCTGTATTGAAAAGAGAGGTGAGCATCAAAGGCAGGGTTTAAAATGGCTGCCTCAAGTGTCCCTATGAACAAAGATCGGGGGTCCTCATGGTGGGGTCCCCATAGGAGAAGGAAGTATGGCTGTGGGCCCATGGGGGGCAGCCCTGTGTTTTTCCTTGCAGCGACTGGGGAAGTGAGCAGATAGCATTGTGTACTTTTACTCCCAGGATACAATTTTAAAATAGGTTGAAATGCAGCTGTATTGGAGTTAAATCTTTTTGTTTGAAATGACGGCAGCAAAGAAGCTAGACTACCTGGGAGGATTGCAGTGTGTCCTATTTTCTGGGTGCTGTCAGTTTCAAGGCATCCTCAGTTTGAAAAGAGGTTCAGGCCAAACCTGGAATCCAGTTCACCTGGGCAGAGCCTTGCCAGTGAGAGAATCTCAGTTTTCAATATGTGAGGGGAAGATCTAAACATTCGAACTGCAGCGGCTATTTATTGGTGCCCCAGTTCCTGCAGTAACTGACAGTGCATTCCCGGGTAGAGGTGAACTCAAGTACGAAATCACAGCCCATGTACAGACACTTTTATAACCTGCTAGTCACGTATACCAATGCAGAGTGTCAAGTTTCCAGATAATGTTAGTACAATAGCATCCTGATGACATAATTTCAATGTATTTCAATGTATTTTATCGTGTTGTAAGCCGCCCCGAGGTTTCGGCAAGGGGCGGCATAGAAATGTTATAATAATGATGATGATGATGATGATGATGATGTTCTAAACCAATTAGAAATACTAATTGGTAACAATAGTACAGAAAATATTACTGATTGCTTTATTGACATGCCAGTTAAGTAGATTTCTTTGCGATTTGGATCAGCCTGTGTCTGTTTAAACATGCCAATGTGTCTGATGGAGGAACCATTCAGGAAACCCGGTTTGACAGCTGCCTCGGTGGAACTAGATGATTGAATGGGTCCACTCAGAAACAAATGGACACCTTTGTCTCAGCTGTCTGCAGCTGAGGGGAACACCGGTCTCACCCCACTGATAGTATCAGCCCCCAGACTTCTCAGTCCAGCTAAGAATTCCATCTTCTTAAAGGAACAGCAGCGCTAAACAGTAACTTGGCTTGGAATTTTGCTACTTTCTGGGAAAGGGGTGCAGTATTTTTATAACACAAAGAGACACATAAGCAACCTTTTTCTGCCAGGATTTATCTGAATTTTCCCAACACCAGCTATGTGGAAACAATATGTAGTGTATTTATATTGAAATTGTAGTTATTCATTTAATATTCATTTAATATTCGAATCATCTATATCTTGTTGTAAGCTGTCCTGAGGCTATGCAAAGGATGGGATAGAAATGTCATTAGTAAAAACATAAATCTTACCATGCATCTACATTCATCACATATGCAGTATAATTAGCCCATTGTCTATCCAGGGTGTGCGAGTTATTATTCACCAACCTATTACACCTGTGTACTTAGAACTACAAGTTCACTAGTTCACTCCTCTAGTCTGGGCAGGATGTTGAATCTCCATCCGGGACCCCAATCTAGCCCTTTGGGATCCTCCAGATGGCACTGGCCCCACCCCATTCCCCAACCACTGACAGTTTCTCAGTTTCCCAACTTTTGTGCGGTTCCTCCCTCTGCCCAGTTTACCGGGACAAAATGCCTCTCTGACAGCAGTAAGAGCTTTAAAGCAGGGGTGTCCAACCTCTTGGTTTCTCTGGGCTGCACTGGAAAAAAATGTATTGGGCAGCACATTAAATACACAAAAGGCCCCTTGCAAGACCTGCCATGTTCTAGCCATGAAGCAGCCATGAGGAAGAGGGAGTCAAGTGTTCCTTCAGGAGGAATGAAACCAGGGGTGAGGAAACCTGAGGTCACACCGCTGCAGGAGAACATACCCTTGTGCCAATCTTTTGTCCTTGGTCCTGTCAGAAAGATCTCCTCCTCCTCCACATTGTCTATCCCACCTTTTCTTCCTTTTGCAGGGAACTCAAGATGGCTTACCTAGTTCCATTGGATCCTCGCAACAAGGTTGAACTGAGAGTGTGTGACCAACCCAAAGTCACCCAGGGAGCTTCATGGCCAAGGGAGGACTAGAACCCAGATCTCCTAGATCCCTAGTCCAGCATTTGAACTATCCAGCCACACTGGCTCTCAAATTCTTCTAGATCAGGGGTCTCAAACTCGTGGCCCGTGGGACGATATTTTGTGGCCCCCACTTGATATCGGAGTTTAGGGATAGTGTGGCCCGCGCGTTATTCCCACACGCACGTGCGTGAGTCGTTACCCTGGGCGCAATGTTCCCTCTAAGCTGCGCGCCGGGACAGGCGGGGCACGGGGGAGGGCCCCTGCGGCCTGCAAAGCGCTGGCGGTGCCCAGGCCGGCCTCCGGGAGCCACGCGGGATGAGCGGCCCACCACCGGCACGGTGACCTGCAGTGCAATTCTGAACTTTGCTGTATGTATTATATTTTAATTTTATGTTGTGAGCCGCCCCGAGGCTTCGGCGAATGGGGCGGCATAGAAATGCTTTAATACATAAACAAACAAACAAACAAACAAACTCAAAGCCAAGTTCAGGGAGGTGAGTGGAAATTTTTGAGAGAATTGCCCCTTACCTTCCCTGAGCTTTCCAGGATGTTCAAGCGGACCATGTGCCTTTTTGGGAGCACCTATCCGTGTGAAAAGCTCTTCTCCACCATGAACTTTAATAAGTCAAAGTTCAGGTCCAAACTTACTGATGAGCATCTTCAAGCCATCCTGAGGGTCTCAGTTGCTTCCTCCCTCAAGCCAAATGTGGCTCAGCTGTGTAAGAGGAAGCGCTGTCAGGTCTCTGGCAGCAAGGAGGAGGAGGGAGTAAGAGAAGCCTATGTTCTGAAGAACCGTTCATGTTCTGAATTATTATTAGAAAAGATTGAGAAGATTGGATCAGTTGTGGTTTTTTTGGAATACTTGAAAGCCTTTTTTTGTGGAATACTTGATGCGGCCCAGTCTGGGTGAGGCTGGTAAGTTGAGCTTGAGACCCCTGTTCTAGATCCTATGATGCAACATCAGGGCATATGCATCCACATACTGTACCTCTGAGCCAGCATCCCTGAAGGGGGCCCACAAGGTGCAGAAGGCACCCAAAGGAAACCGATAATGCTAAAATCTAAAGTTTGCTAAACAAATAAAGCAGGAGGGGGGGTGAGGAGGGTACCAGGTTGCTTTTCAACGAAGTCTGGAAGGTGCGAGCATGGAGAAATCCCCTCAGGTTGTGGCCACTGAGTGGGAATGGGGTGGAAGGTGGGGCTGAAATTGCTAGGGCGCCAGCCTGGCTCCGGAAAGTTCCCGAGCCGGGGGCTACAGAGGTACAGGCCCCATTTGCGTGACTGCCATGACCACACCTTAGGAAATGGGGTGGGGGGAGGCTCAGTGGGGCAGCATTTTGGTGATTGTGGCCAAGCCCGCATCTTGCGGAGGCCTTGCCAGAGAGGTCCAAGAGGGTCTTGAACATCTAAGGTGTGGGCCTTCGGGCTGGTTAATCATCCTGGGCGAAAGATTGAGCTGCCCTAAGGACAGAGTCTGAGCGTGGCTTTGGGGCCTAGCCAAAAGAAGGGGTGAAGGGTCTCCCTGGAGAGGATGGCTTCTGAATAGAGCAAAGCTGCTCTGCCAGCATCAAAAAACGATACCTGCCCCACGGCACAATTCACAGACACCCGGATCTTCTCTAACCTCTTGCCAAGGGACAGAGGGAGGGAATGAGGTGGGGTCGAGAATTGATAGTCACCACCCCATTTCCCCATTGCCAACACTCCTTCTTCGGGAATTAGGCCGATCTCGCCCTTTCTCCTCACAGTCTTTTGGGCGACCCCCACTGCCCATTCCTTCTTATGATCAATGATGACTTCCCAGAAATGTCTTCCAGCCATGAATCCTTCCTGGCCCAGCACATTCGCCTGGGCATCGAACCTCTCCGGACTGTCGGGGAGACATTGAGGGCCTTCTCCCAATTTTACACTCTTAAGATCCTCAGACAGGATGAGCTGGGGGTGAGCTGTGTTGGGGTCCAGAGTGATGTTGGCTGTGTTGACAGTTGTGGGAGAGAAGGAGAGGAAAAGAAAACACAGTCACCCAGGGGTGGCAGGAGGCCCTGAGCCGAAATATACCACAAGCCACCTGAAAGCCACCTGATTCCAACTCTTAGGAGCATTCCAACTCTTAGCACAGAATATGCTCTCTTCCCTTCATGCTTTCCACAAAGAGTGGGCATGAAATCTCAGGAAAGGCCTTGACAAGGGCAAAAACACACCTCTATCACCATGACTCGGGTGGTTATTTAAACGTTCAGTTCTTGCCTCTCCTGTCCTTCCAGAGAGCTTAACAGAAGTAAATACATTTGTGAAGCACATGCTCTGTTCTTCGTTGTGAGGAAGATCAGTCAGGAGAGAACAAGATACCTAATTCTTGGCAGGCTGCTTTGTGAAACAGCCATTTCTTTCCTATATGGAAACTGAGGGTACCTCCGGTCAGGTGAGTAGAGGGTGAGCTCCTGCCTGGTCGCCTGGAGGAGATCCTTATTCACCTGAGGTGACCAGAGAAGCAGCTACTTACATGCCTGCCTCTGCATACCAGATTCAGGAACTAATTACCTTTCTGCAGCTGAAGTCCAGAAAGCAGCCCATCTGAGAAAACAAAGCAAAGAGGGATTAACAATGCCAATGATAAATCTTGGAACAAGGCTAAATTAAATACTGAATAGGTGCTGTTGTTTTTCTACTTCCAAAGGAGGATTCGGTTTTTGTTGTTATGTGCCATCAAGTCATCTTACGGCAACCCTGCTCAGCTCTTCCAAGTTCAAGGCTGTGGGCTCCTTCATGGAGTCACTCCGTCTCTGATTTGGCCTTTCCTCTTCTGCCCTTGACTTTGCCTTCTCACGATGTGACCAAAGTATGACAGCCTCAGCTTTGTTAACTTTTGTTCCAGGGGCAGCTCTGGCTTGACTGGACCTGGGACCCACCTGTCTGTCTTCTGTCGGTCCAAGTATTTGCAAGCTCTCCTCAGGCACCATGTTTCAAACACACTGATTTCTTCTCATTAGTGTTCTTCACTGGCCAGCTTTTACACCCATACACTGTGATTGAGAATGCATTAGTTTGGATGATCTTGACCTTGGCTTCCAGTAAAAGGTCCTTAACACTTGATGTCCCTTCCAAGACTCAAACTTCTTCAAACTTCTTGGAGAGAACTGGTGACTGCACTGAGGTAGGTGAAATCTCTCACTTCTTCATCACCAACATGGTAGGCATGTCATAAGTGGACCTGGCTGGAGCCAGGGGTCAGACTAGATGGCCCGGGAGACCCCTTCTGACTCACTCTATTTCTATGTTTCTGTGTAACAGTAGAGTTTTGTAGTTCTTCTGCGGACCTGATTTCTGTTTTCTTAATATTCAGTAGAAACACCCAATATTTTCAGACGGTTTATCCATGTATCCTGCTGCCCACTCTTAGTCAACTTTCCATATGTTGTCCCCATTGGCTTTTCCCCCTACTCCTTAGTATTTTTTCCTAAACACTTTTTGTATTTCTCTATGGGATACCTTGAAGCCTGATAATACTTCCCTTTTGTGCATGGGTGATGTGATTTTAGTTACATAAGCAAAAACACACATTTCTAAACTTTGGGAACAGAAGGAATTAAAATAATGGCACAGGAGCATGGAAAACTGCCACTGAGTCAGGCCTGGTCCATCTGGCCCATCATTACTGATTCTGACTGGTTTCAGGCTACACAATAATTCCCACTCCAAGGCTGAGTGCGGGCAGCTGCTGCAATGTGAGTTTGTGTGTTGTCTGAACCCGGCCAAAACAACAAGTCATGGTGAGCCCCCCACAGTTGAGAGCCCAACAACAAGGCATATGATCTCTTCATGCATTCTTGCGGTTAACAAGCCATGGCTTATTCGTGAGCTGGGTGCAGACAACATCTCCGCAACAACCTACAGTTGAACAACCATTGTGTTATCTCAACCAATTGCTAACCAGCAGCAGAATGTCTGGGGTTTCATCTCCAGTGTTTCTGGCAAGATTATTTTCTGCGCTACCTGGAGATCCAATCGGGATCCTTCTGCATGCAGCCCTGTTGGTCTAGCAGTCAAGTGGAAGCAGCGATGAGAAAGGGGATGAGGAGCAAAGCAGCGGCTGCTGATGGAGCGGAGAAGGAAGGTTCACAGGGGAGGTGGGCCACTGTCTGCTCCTCTCCTGAGAGCCCTGGAGCTGGCCCTGTGCGGTAGCATCAGTTCTTAGGAATGTCACAATTTGCAAACAATGATGCTTGTCATGGCGGGCTTGCCAGTTACTCCAAGCACCTTCCAATCCTTTGCCAGAACACGGGGGCAGGAGGAGATCTACTCCTTGCTGACCCGTCAGATCAGGGGTGCCCAAGGCCGCTCCTTTGCAGAGAAGCTCTCAGGGGCCACAATCCAGGGCTGGGTGGGGCTGAAGACAAACTGAGCAGGCGGATGGTGAAAAGGATGAAGCCGAATGTTTTTTGCTTAATAGCAGCACTTTGAAGCTCTTGCCACGAGTAACTAAGCCTCACGAGAGGCATTTCGGCCTCCTAGAGTACCGCAGAGCAGCTGAGAAGCCACTGAAGGATCAGTGGCTGGGGGCAAGGGGAGAGGGCGTGGATTCCCCCCAAGCTGGCAGTTCTACTCATCTGAAGATGAATGGTCACCTGTTCATTCCCCACTGCCCTTTCATAACCACGAACGAAATAGCTGGAGCCGTGAACTTCACTACAAGGCCCAGGGGTCACGGGCCGCTCCCGGTTACTCCAAGTGGGGGTCTCCACCCCACTCTCATTCACTGTTTCCCTGAGCAGATCCCGATAACCCACACCCAGGGTTGAGTATGGCTTCAGTGGGGGTGGCTGATGAACCATGGGTTGTTGAAGGTGGGTTATTGTATCGTCTGAACCTACCTGTGCTAACGCACCATGGCTTGTTAAGCGCGGACAACCCGGGAAGGGAACGCATGGTTTGCTGCTGGGTAGGGAACTGATATCTTAGCTGCATTCGGACAAAATTTGCCCACCTGGTGACTGAAAAGGCCTTGCAGAGAGAACATGGTGGGAGATGGTGAGGAGAGGTCTGAACAGTCCTGCAGAGTAGTCCTTCCAAGCCCCCCGTGGCCTGGGAAGGGTGGTCCCCAAGGGGGCTCATGGCGTCCGGAGGCAGGGAGGCTCCTGCTTGGATAACAGTGAAGATTGCTGGGGCTGCGGGAGGGGATGAAAGCTGGAAATTCAGGGAAAGGGCTGGAATGCCGTAGCCATTTCTTTTGTGGTTGCAACTAGGAACAAGACTCCTGCCAGGACCACTGTAACTTTTAGCATCCCCGTCCCTGCAGTCCTTTTCCATTACCTTTCAACTGCTTTGCGACTCCCTCCAACATAAGAGCTATGTCAGAGATGTCCCAGATCCTCCACTTCAGAGCAGAAGGAAAAAATACAGCACCTCCAGGTGTCACCATTTCCTCTTTCCTGGTGGAGAGAAACCGCGTGAGCCCACCGTCTATCCAATCCAGAATTCCCACATGGAGAAAAAGAGGGCACAGAGGAGGAAGGCAGAAGACAACAGAAATCCCAGAGGTGCAGGCAGGCGCAGAAAGCAGTGAGGGTGGGAGATGCGGCAGGCGGAAGGCTCTGCTGGTTCTCGGTATGACCAGGGAGCCAGGAGGAGACCTGGGTTGCCACTGACTTGGCCCTTAGCTTGGTCTTCCAGGAACCCTCCTCAGGGAAAGGGAAGAAATGTGTTATTTCGTTTCCCATTATGCCCAGCCAATGGTCAGGAACAGGGATGCAAAAATCAGGTTGGCATTTGTCTCTCTCGTGCTCACCAGACGTCTTTCCCATGCCTGGCCCTGTCAGGGATGTGAGCTGAGCTGAAATCAGGTCCATAAATGCTAGCATATTCTTTGCACAAAGTATGTAATTCTTTGTGCAACTTAAAGAAAGTACATCATTCTTCGCACAAAATGTGCAAATTATGCAAATCTTTGCACAAAAAATATGCAAAGCTTCTAAGCCACAGAATCACAGAATCATAGATGAGTTGGAAGGAGCCATGAAGGCCATCGAGTCCAACCCCCTGCTGTTGCAGGAGACCAAGTTACACCAATTTCTTTGTGAACGTCTCCAGTGTGGGGGAGCCCCCACCTCTCTCTGGGCAGCGGGTTCCACTGTCGTGTTGCTCCAGCAGTCAGGAAGTCCTGCGTGTGGAAGCGGAACTGTGCTTGAAGCCACGTTCTACTGGATGTTCACACAACTGCTCACCATGAAATGGATTTCAGGAAGATTTCGGGAGGAGAGAAAGCAGGCTGGAGTTTGGTGAGCCAACTCCAATGGATTCCCACTCCCAAACTGAATTCCCCCCACATCCCTAGTCAGGTGGTTGTCGTAAACCTCTGGAAAAGCGAGCTTGGGGAAAGCTCACTTATTGGTCTCAAAGGGCGAAATCACGTGGGTTTGCATTAAAATGCCAACCAAAGAGGTTTCTTCCTGCTCCCTGATGATAATTCCTAGGAGGTCACAGCTCAGAGCAAAAGGAGCAGCACCCCAGGTCCCCCCCCAGCCGTGTCTAGAGAAAGAAGATGCATCGCACAACGCCATCGCGCTCAGAGGTGTCCCCTGCTTCCATTACGGCATGGGCTGACACTCAGAGCTCGATGAAGATGCTGAGGAGGAAGAATTCCATTTATATACTACCCGGTTGCCTGAGCGGTTAGCGACAATTCATAAAAAGCAACAACACACTGTACAGATTGAATTAAAGCAGCATAAAATTCAATGCCCATTTTGATGAAATTTCAAAGCCATTTATGGAAATGTACATATCCGATACCTCCAATAAATGAGGCGATTGCAAACATACCAAATGCCAGGGAAGCATTAAATGCCTCGGCACAGAGGAGTGTCCCGACCTGCTAACAGAGCCAGCTGCAGTGGGCCTCGGGGGGAGCTTGCTCTTTAACCGCAGTCTGTGGGCCACCACTGAGAAGACCCTGGCAGGTGCCAATCGGCCCGTCCTCAGAGGCGGCTCCCAGAAGGCGGCCCCGGAGGTGGAGTGCGGTGCCACGCCATGTGTTGCTGCATCGTGTCACCTGATGTCTTACTCTAGATGTTAACAGGGGGATGCAGAGAGGAGAAAGGGGGAAGCCAAGTTTTCCTTACAATGGCAACTTTGCCTCTAGGCTGTAGTTCAGGGGAATATTACTATTAAAATTTCTACACTGCCTGTAGCCAAAGCTCTCTAGGCAGTTTACAACAATAATCACAGAATGATCCACTCAAGTCACCCATCCAGAGTCTAACCAAGCCAGGCCCTGCTTAGCTTCCAAGATTAGGCAGGATCAGGCACTTTAGGCTACACAGAATATATGACCAGGAAAACATGGTCAGGGACATGGCATCCCCTTCCACCTCCTGCTCTCGCATGAGTAACTTCAGGAGGGCCCCACAGAACCAGGGAAGGAGCATGGAATGGATTGGGTCAGGCCACCATCATAGCACCGGGTGTCAGAATACCTCACTGGCCAGCTGAGGGGGCTACCAAGTTTTTAGATGGGCCAAATAAAATTCTATTCTGGGAGGACAATTCAGCTCCCAAAATACAGACAGCTGTACTGATTTGTACCAACATGCCAGTTCCAGTCATTTTCATCTCCACCAGAGGCAGATTTTTGTCAAGTGAATGGGCCTCCATTGCCCCCTCAAGATCCAGCTGCCCCAAAACACTTCACATAACAAGAACGAACAAACCTGGTTGCTGGCACAATGCATTCCCCGCCTCCCTGGGGGAATTAAACGAAGCTAGTAGGAAACAGGGAAGCCTGAGTGGGCTGGCAGATGGTACTTGTGTCCCTCGCATCGCATCCGTGTCAGCACTGATGCCACGATACCACCTGAAGGCCCCGATTTCCCCTGGGACACGGTCCACCCTGTCCTGGAGCCTGGAAAGCTGCACTCTCCATTCCAGATGCTGCCCCACATTGCATTATGAAGGGAAAGGAGTGGGTTCCACTTACCTTTCGAAGATGCTTAAGACATCCTAGAGGGGAAAGAAAGAAAGAAAGAAAGAAAGAAAGAAAGAAAGAAAGAAAGAAAGAAAGAAAGAAAGAAAGAAAACAAGGAACTCGTGAATGCAAATCATGCGGACCACCCTGTGAAGACCCATCAGTCCGGGAGAGTGTGATGCTTGGACCATCCCAGGCCCAGCTGACAGGGCGCTGCCTTGTACACACTTCTTGAGAAGCAGGTGAGGGCCAACCTCTAACAGTCTCAGGGCCACCTGCCACCTTCGCTTCCAGGGGAGAAGGTCTGCACAGGGCCATTAAGGGCACTCTGTCTCCGGGGGAACAAGAATCGCCCGCGGGGGGTCAGCACTTTGGCAGAGGAGGGATGGGCGCTTAGACCTTCTGCAACATTCACAGGGGGTGCAGAACCCCTCCCCACCTGATGGCCAAATTCCACTTTGGAAAAGCTGACGGGAGGCGAACTCTAGCAAAGGGCAAGCTGGGCTGGCCAAAAATACCAGCATGTTGCGCCATACGGTTTTTCCAACCGGTAACTAAGACTTAGGGTTAGGAGAGGCATTTCCATGGGGAAAGCCACATAAAATCCAGGAAGCAACCCAGAGATTCATGGCTGGAGGAAAGTGAGTGGGGCCGGAAGGGGTGTGTGGCCTACTGGAACTTCAAAGGACTGCAGTGGGACCCTTGGGGGGCTGCCTTTGGCCCTGGGCCTGGCGCTGTGCACACCCCCACAAAGCCCAAGCAGGAATGCCCCTCCCCCTCACCTGGCACCGGAATGGACAGGAGCGGCTCTCTTACTTGCAGGAGTTCTCTTGCTGGCTGCAGAGACCTCTCTGTCTCTACCTTCCTGATGATATTTTCATAAAAGGAAAGCTCCCTGGAGAATCTGGCCATGATCTCCTCCTTTACCCTGGTGATCTCCTCCTCCACCTCCTGCATCTGGGCCAGCAGAAGCTCCTCTTGTCTCTCCAGGAACTGGTGTAGCTCTCTGAACAACGCCGTGGCCCTTTTCTTCTGGACTTTTGTTTGTTTCTTCATCAAGCCGGTGGAAAGGGGAGAAAGACAGGCCTTGCATTGTTTGGAATGGAGGGGAAAAGAGGGCCTCAACCAAGTATGCTTTGGGGCTTTTAAACTGTATCAGCAGCACCAGCTCCTGGGGGACCAGATATCCCTGAGTCTTATAGTGTTCCCCCGTCTTAGGACATGGTCTTTTCCAAAGGGAGAGAAGTGCAGCTAACAGACAAGCAACGCAGCATGATAAAACTGCATATAGGGTAGTTGTCCGCATTTGCCAAAAATGTGGGGGCCACTGAGAACTGTCAGGGCAGTCCTTGGAGTCCAGAGGATCACCTTGCGAAGGAGGAGGATCTTGTGGCCACCCCTTTCACCCCCGTTTCACCTGCAACATTCAGCAGGTGTGTACAAAGCAGCCTAGGCACAGTCTCGTCTGGCCAAGTTCCTTGTCTCTTGCCATTGCCTTGGACAGCTGATCTACCACAATTGCAAAAGATGAGCACACGTCCCAACCGAAAGGAATCGCTAAGACGCTCGTGCACATTTCTGAGTTGAGGAAAAAGGTGGTGAGCCAGGGACGCTTCCAAAGGCTGCTTGGGCATCTGTGCAGGGCCGCCACTAGCGGCTGCACTGGCGAGGCGGAGGTGCAGCAGGAGTCGCTGTTGCTCCTGTTGCGTGGCTGACAAGCTACTTCCAGCCACCCACAACAGGACTCGGTCTCTTGTGATCAGACAACACAACAACCCATCGTGGTTCCAACAACCCCTGCTAAAGGCTTGGGTTATCAGGGTAGCTCGTGGCCGCCACATTATCTACCCTGAGGAAGTAGAAACGTAGAAACAGAGCGCGTCAGAAGGGGTCTCCTGGGCCATCTAGTCTGACGCCCGGCTCCAGCTTGCTCTGCTCACGACATGCCCACCATGTGCACGTCCAGCCTATCCTTGAACACCCGCACCGATGGGGCCTCAACGACCTCTTGTGGAAGCCCATTCCACACCCTCGGGGTCCTGACTGTCAGGAAGTGCTTCCTGGCATCCAAATGGAACCTTGGCTCCCTGAGATTTGCTCCGTTGGAGCACGTCCTGCCTTCCTCTGCAGGGGAAACAGGTCTCTACCCACCTCCGTGTGACATCCTCTCACATACCTGTATGTCGCCAACAAAGCAGTGCTGGTTCACATGATACAAGAACTCCCTGTAGCTAGTTCCTTGTGTCATTCAACCCCCAACTTTGTCGGATACTCCTGCCAATGCCTAGGAAATGCCAACAGGAACTAAGGAACTCTGGGGCTTGCAGTTCTTGAAAGAGCCTGTTGCAAAGGAAGTCATACCCCACCCCTCTCATTCATGATTTCGTTCTGTAGCTGCTGCTCATTTTCCAAGGCCGGCTGGGTTCAGACTGCATGACAAGCAACCCCTGCCTATTGTGTCGTGTGAACACTGTCCCTGGTTCCTCTACTTTGTACTTATTAGCAGTATAACTCTTACAAGCAAGTCTTGGCTTTCCTTTTCTCTCATATCTTTATACTTCCAAATGTGTTGCTGTTCGTTCCTCAGAAGCTCCAAGCTGCTGGAGATCAGTTCCTAAGGAGGAAATAATAAGTTGGGTTAACTTGGGTTACTCTTTAGAGGTTTACTCAGTATACAGATGAATGTTGAGAAAGAGAAGCCGAGCAATGCGCATTCTCCCTTCACCCCTTCCAAGGTAAAGGGCAAACACAACCTTCCTCAAGCTTTCCAGAAAGGCCACTGAGATGACCTAAAGGATCAACAGGCACCAAATCTGCGTTTCTACATGCCTCAGGCTGACTCTTCCCATCACACAATTTGCAGGAATCGCCCGCAGGACAAATTATTGCTGGCATGGAACGGCCAGTTTCTCTCCTGGGAGTTGTCCAGTCCCTTCGCCTGCTTGCAGAGTCTTCCTGTGTCTTTGAGCAGCAGGCAAAGAGTCAAGAGTAAATCATGCTGCGCTCCACTTGAGCAAACACAGGCTGCCTATGTCTTTCGAACGCTTGACAGCTCACCATCCGACAGCGGTCAAATGGTTCCAAAGTGGGATTAAATTTACTCGCAGCCTCAGTGGGACTCTTCTGGCAGGCAACACCCCAGGATCCTCATTGCCCCCTTGCATAACTGCACTTGAGTGGAGCCTGATCAAGCACGGGTTAGAGCTCATTCTTGAGCCTGCTCTGTGCGGCTGGAGGTGGCAAAGAGGCAGTTCTTTTCCGCCATCATGGCATCTTCTCAGTGTGACCCAGCAGAGTTTTCCCAAGTGGGCCAGAGAAAGAAATTGTGGTGCTCTTGGTGGCTTGCTGTGATGAATTTGCACAGCACTTTGACCGTAATGACCCTCGGATTCCAAGTGCAAATATTAACATTCAAAGCCCTAAATGGCCAGGGGGCAGGTTAACTGAAGGAATGCCCTCTCCCATATGTACCTACCTGGATTCTGGGGTCATTTGGGGCGGGGGGGTCTGTCACTGGGAAGATCCTCCAAAGCAAGTGAGGAAGGTAGCTATCAGGAGAAGGGCCTTTTGGTTGTGGCCCCCCATCTCTGTAATGAGCTCCCCCAAGAGGTGTGCCTGCAATATTCTTTCGGGCACCAGGTGAAAACCTTTTAATTTTCTCAGTATTTTAACAGGTAACATTTAAACTTTAGTTTCAATATTGCATTTTATCTCGTACTACTGCTATGCCTCTGTGCTGATTCAGTTGCACGTGCTGTGTTTTTATTGCCTTATGTTATTTCTTGTTGTTTGTGTGTTTTTAACTTTTGTTAACCACCCAGACAGCCTCAGCTATTGGGCAGTATAATAAACTAACTAACAAACAAATAACATCTGCAATTGTGACAAGGTGGTGATAATTTTTTTTAAAGCATTTTCATGGTTCGTTGCCAAAAGGATTATCAATGCTGGCCTCCATGGGCACTTGAAAGCATCTCGAAGGTGTCTGTCAGTTTCCAAAAAGGGGCGGGGGGGGGGTTGTCATGGAAGCCATTTCCACAATCGCAAGCACATCCTGGGGCAGTTTTGAACTTCCATCTTCTCAGGCTCCTGGTCACTGTTGCATAAAACACTGAATCACTCACTCCCTTCCGCACATGTCAGTTACCAGTAACTGTGCCAACGCTTACATGTTTATGGCAGCAATAAAAGATCTACAGTATCTGTTTGCTAAGGGTTAGGTTAAACCTTTTCCTTTGCTGCATAATGTAAACTGCTTTTATTTCTCTGTTAGTTTCCTTGTTGCCCTCCCACACACTTTGGGACCATGCTGTACTGTTTTACCGTGTTTTATTGTTTGTATCCTACTTTGGGATTATCTTCTGATAATCTTGTAATTATGCTTGTAATAAAAAGTGTGAAAGAAATCTCTTAGATAGGTTTCCAGTGGAAGCACCTGTAGACCGAATTATCACCCACAGCGCAGGCCAGGGCTCATGGCTAGAAGAGCGATCTTGTTTACTGACAAAATATACCAGACTCCGCGCTTCTTTTACAGGCCAGCATTGGCTGGGGGGAAATTTCGCCCCCTTGGTATCCTGCCACAGAGAGCAGCATTGCGGGGTTTTAGCACAGAAAATTCAAGGGGTCCCAATTTAGAAACCTCGCTGTGTAAGCTACAGTTTGCTGGGTCATTGCTCACCCAGGAGGAAGTGCGGTTCACCTGGAAGATACCCCGGTTCCAGTATTGCTAAAAAGGGGGGGGGGGTGCCGTTTGTCCCGGGGAAGAGAAACCATCATCTTCCTCTCCCCGTCCCAGCAGATGATAAAGCCTTTTCTAAGTTAAAAAGCTGCGAATGCCTTAACCTCCCCCCAAAGGGAACCCCTTTGCTTCTGAATTGATTGCTCCAGGGAACCCCTCGCACGGAATCCACTCGCAGGAGTCGCAAGGGCTTGCTTCCTACCTCGTCCTTTCGGGCCGCCTCCTCCAGAGGAACCAGCTTGTGCCCCTCGTGCTCCTTGGATCTGCAACACACCAGGCAGACGGGGGCTCCGTGGTCCGCGCAGAAGAGCTTCAGGGGCTCCCAGTGCCTCTCGCAGAAGCGCCCCTCTCCTCCCTCCCCCGCGCTCGTCAGCTTCTTGGCTATTTCCACGAAGTTCGACAGCTGCCGGTTCGGCAGGAGGCTGCTTCGCCGGAAGATCCCCCTGCACTGAGGGCAGGAGGCCTCTCCGCCCGCCTTGCCCCCGCACTGGGGCAGGCAGGCTCGGCAGAAACTGTGCCCGCACTCGGCCACGGTGACGGCGTCCTTGAAGTACTCCAGGCAGATGGGGCAGGTCACTTCATCGCAGAGGTCCTGCACGGCGCCCCTGCCCGCAGCCATGGCCGTGCCCCAGCGCAGGCGAGACAACAGCGCTGGTTTCATTTTCCCCGGGGCTGGTCCGCGGCGGTGGCTTTCGCTTTCCGTCCAGCCCGAGCGGCGCCTTTCTGCGGAGAGTCCTGCGCTGGAGCCACCGCTGGGCGGCGCTGCACCGCACGGAGCGCCCGGGAGCAGCCGCGCCCCGCTGCGGTCGCGGGGGCGCCATCGGCGTGGCTGTGCGGGCTCTGCGGCCTGCGCTGCTCACGGGGAAATACAACGAATCACGAGCCCTCTCAGCCCGTGCAGCCGAACCCTTTCGACTCGCTTAAAACCTGCCTCCGTCATGTCCACATGGGTTTGTTCTTGCTGCCTGGAAGCTGCTTGGGGAATATTCATAACTCTGCTTCTTTGTTCTTTCTTTCAGCAATCCTTTTTTTTTAAAAGGGGGGCATAAGAGCCTGTAACTGCGTGCAATGCCTGGCTGCCTCACCCTGACTATTGTTGGGAAAATTCAGGTAAATCCTGGCAGAAAAAGGTTGCTTATGTGTCCCTTTGTGTTATAAAAATACTGCACGCCTTTCCCAGAAAGTAGCAAAATTCCAAGCCAAGTTACTGTTTAGCGCTGCTGTTCTTTTAAGAAGACGGAATTCTTAGCTGGACTGAGAAGTCTGGGGGCTGATAGTGGGGCGAGACCGGTGTTCCCCTCAGCTGCAGACGGCATGAAATACCGTTATTGTTGAACAGCATCTTCTGGAGTAAGCGTAATGTGCATTCTCTTGTGAGGAATTCATACAAACCACACTCGCCAAGCCTCTATCTTCTTTGCAAAATAGGTCAAGCTTTCCCTGGCATCCCTCCTCCCTTTTTGAGGCTAGCTGCCAATTTGGGCTGATACTCCCTTTGTAGATCTTGGCTAAGCCCTCCAGATATTCCTATTTCTCACAGCTGCCAGTGAGACTGGCCCAGCGTAAGTTGTAGATTCAGTCTACCAGGTACTCCAGGGAGATGGGGCACATGGCTCCATCTTCCCCATTCACACATGGTGGAGTTGAGGCCAAAGCAGATGGTGTACCTGTGGCTCAGGGTGCGTTTCAGGCTCGCTGGAGGACAGCAGGGCAAACCAAGCCTACAGGAGGAGGACAGGACAGGACATCCAGTGGGAGAAAATTCCTCCAGCCAACAATATAGCTCTATCGTCTGTCACAGCTTCCACATCTCAGACGCAGCCACACTGGAGACCTCCTAGGGTCAGATTAGATGAGTTGTCCAACAGATGGTATCCATCCTAAAGTCCCTAAAGAGCTCAAGCATGGAATCTCTGACCTTCTCACCGTAGCAGTTAATATATCCCTGCAACAGCCCTTGAAACACCAATCAGAGCAAGAGGGGTGTGGTACACACCACGCAGTCTGGGAGGGGAGGACCAGCTACAAGCTTGTCAGCCGAGACTGGTGGCGAGGCTGCCCCACAGGTGGCCCACTCACAGGTAACACACCTGACCTGCAGAGGAAGCATGCTCACCTTAGTTGAGTGGTGGCAGGGAGAGAGAGCGCCAGAGGTAGGCCCCGAGTGCTCGCAAGTGCTGGCAGGGCTGGCTGGCGTGAGTGCCCCAACCATCACCATGGCTATGCCAGGCACGCCTGTTTTCCCGCAAGGACTGGCAGGCTTCCTTCAGGTCAGGTTTGCTCCTGAAATCCCTCAGTACCACCTCCAGCTGGTAAGGCCCAGCCCAAGGGGAACCACAAACACAAGTCATGCTGGGCCAGACCAAAGGGCCGTCTAGCCCAGCACTGCACACGCACGGTGGCAAATGAGCCGCCACAGGACCCCTCAAGCAGGAGGGATGCAAAGCCTCCTCCTGCCCAAGATCCTCAGCAACTGGGGCGTGCAGCTCAGGGTGAAGGAGGAAGCACTTGGCCAGCAGGGCTAGTAGCCACGGAGAGCCGCCTCCCTCATGAAGCTGTCCAATCCCGTTTTAAAGCCATCCAGATTGGCAGCCATCACCGCTTCCCGTGGCACAAATTCCACAGTCTGACTATACATCATGTGAAAAAGCACCTCTTGTCTGTCCCAAGCCTTCCCCCAAACAGTTTCATCAGTTGACCCTGGTTCCAGTGTTATGGGAGAAGGAAGAAGGGAGAAATGTCTCCCTCTCCATTTTTTCCACTCAGTGCATAATTCACACCTCTATCATGTCTCCTCTTAGTTGACTTTTTTCCTAAGCTAACTGTCTCAGTTGTAACCATTCCTCTTAGGGGAGCTGCTGCAGCCCCCTAATCATTTCTGTTGCCCTTCTCTGTACTTTTTCCATATGCCTTTTTTCAGGTAAGTACCCAGAACTGAATCCAATATTCCAACCGCAGTTGCACCAAAGATTTGTGTAAAGGTAAACCTGCAATAAGCACTTTTTGTCCCAACATGCACTACTCTACGCTTTCTTGAGTGCCATTCTCCCAGCTTGGAGAGGTCCCTTTGGAGTTCCTCACAATCCCTTATGGTTTGACCATCCTAAATAGTTCGTAATTATCAGCAAACTTGGCCACTTTGCTACTTCTTCCTAATTCCAGATCATTTCTGAATAGGTTGAAAAGCTTTGGTCCTAATAGGGAACCCTGTGGGGCCCCTCTGGTTACATCCCTCTATTGGGAAAAATTGCTGTTTATTCCCACCTTCTGTCTCCTGGTCTTTAACCAATTAGTGATCCATAAGAGGACTCCCCTGGAAGGAAATGGCAACCCACTCCACTATCTTTGCCATGAAAACCCCATGGACAGTACCAAAAGGCAAAAAGATATGACGCCGGAAGATGAGCCCCTCAGGTCAGAAGGTGTCCCATATGCTACTGGGGAAGAGCGGAGGGCTAGTACTAGTAGCGCCAGAAAGAATGAAGCGACTGGGTCAAAGCCGAAAGGACACTCAGTTGCAGATGTATCTGGTGGTGAAAGGAAAGTCTGTACTCCATAGGAACCTGGAATGTAAGATCCATGAATCAAGGCAAACTGGATGTGGTCAAACAAGAGATGACAGGACTGAACATCGACATCTTAGGACTCAGTGAACTAAAATGGACAGGAATGGGTGAATTTAATTCAGTTGACCATCAGGTATACTACTGCGGGCAAGAATCCCTCAGAAGAAATGGAGTAGCCTTCATAGTCAATAAAAGAGTAGGAAAGTAGTACTGGGATAGAATCTCCAAAATGACGGAATGATCTCAGTTCAAATCCAAGGCAAACCATTCAACATCACAGGGGTCCAAATCTATGCCCCAGCCACTGGTGCTGAAGAGACTGAAGTTGACCAGTTCTATGAAGGCCTACAACACCTTCTAGAATTAACACCAAAAAAATGATACCCGTATCATCATGGGGGATTGGAATGCTAAAGTAGGAAGCCAAAAGATAACCGGAATAACAGGCAAGTTTGGCCTTGGAGTACAAAATGAAGCAAGGCACAGGCTGGTAGAATTTTGTCAAGAGAATACGATGGTCATAGCAAACATTATTTTCCAACAACCCAAGAGATGACTCTACACATGGACATCACCAGAAGGTCAACACAGAAATCAGATTGACTATGTGCTCTGCAGCCAAAGGTGGAGAAGCTCTATACAGTCAGTAAAAACTAGACCAGGAGCTGACTGTGGCTCAGATCATGAGCTTCTTGCTGCAAAAATTAGGCTTAAGTTGAAGAAAGTAGGGAAAAACACTAGGCCATTCAGGTATGACCTAAATCATAACCCTGATGAATATACAGTAGAGGTGACAAATAGATTTAACGAATTAGTCCTGATAGACAGAGTGCCTGAAGAACTATGGACGGAGATTCGTAACATTGTACAAGAGGTAGCAACTAAAACCATCCCAAAGAAAAAGAAATGCAAGAAAGCAAAATGGCTGTCTGAGGAAACTTTACAAATAGCTGAGGAAAGAAGGGAAGCAAAAGGCAGGGGAGAAAGAGAAAGATGGAAGAGATAAGAATGCCTTCTTAAATGAACAGTGCAAAGAAATAGAAGAAAACAATAAAATAGGGAGGACCAGAGATCTCTTCAAGAAAATTGGAGAGATGAAGGGAACATTTCATGCAAAGATGGGCATGATATAGGACCAAAATGGCAGGGACCTAACAGAGGCAGAAGAGATTAAGAAGAGGTGGCAAGATTACACAGAGAAACTATACAAGAAAGAGCTTAATGTCCCTGATAACCGAGATGGGGTGGTCACTGACCTCGAGCCAGACATCCTGGAATGTGAATTCAAATGGGCCTTAGGAAGTCTGAGCAACAACAAAGCTAGTGGAGGCAACAGTATTCCAGTTGAGCTATTCAAAATCCTAAAAGACGATGCCGTAAAAGTGCTACACTCAATATGCCAGCGAGTCAAGAAGCAACAGTGAGAACTGGACACGGAACCACTGATTGGTTCCAAATTGAGAAAGTTCGGCAAGGCTGTATGCTGTCTCCCTGCCTATTTAATTTATATGCAGAGCACATCATGAGAAAGGCGGGGCTAGATGAATCACCAGTTGGAATTAAGATTGCTGGAAGAAATATCAACAACCTCAGAAATGTAGATGATACCACTCTCATGGCAGAAAGTGAAGAGGAACTAAAGAGCCTCTTGATGCAGGTGAAGGAGGAGAGCGCAAAAGTTGGCTTGAAACTCAACATTAAGAAAACTAAGATCATGGCATCCAGTCCTCTCACTGCCTGGCAAATAGATGGGGAAGAAATGGCGGTAGTGACAGATTTCATTTTCCTGGACTCCAAGATCACTGCAGACGGGGACTGCAGCCAAGAAATTAAAAGACGCTTGCTCCTGGGGAGGAAAGCTATGGCAAATCTAGACAGCGTACTAAAAAGCAGAGACATCACCCTGCCAACAATACTGCGTATAGCCAAGGCTATGGTTTCCCCAGTTGCAATGTATGGCTGTGAAAGCTGGACCATAAGGAAGCCTGAGCGCAAAAGGATTGAGGCCTTTGAATTGTGGTGCTGGAGGAGACTCATGCGAGTCCCTTGGACCTCAAGGCGATCAAACCAGTCAGTTCTAGAGATCAATCCTGACTGCTCTTTAGAAGGCCAGATCCTGAAGATGAAACTCAAATACTTCGGCCACCAAATGAGAAGGAAGGACTCCCTGGAGAAGAGTCTAATGCTGGGAACAATAGATGGCAAAAGAAGGGGATGGCAGAGGATGAGGTGGCTGGATAGTCACTGAAGCAGTTGGTGTGAGCTTGAGTGGACTCCAGGGGATGGTGGAGGACAGGAAGGCCTGGAGGAATGTTGTCCATGGGGTCGCGATGGGTCGGACACGACTTTGCGACTAACAACAACAAAGAGGACTCCCCAACCCTTTATTTCATGACTGCTTAGTTTGCTCAGCAGCATTTGGTGAGAGACTTTATCAAAAGCCTTTTGGAAGTCCAAGTAAACAATCTCACCCCATCTTCATGCATAATGACAGTCTCAATAAGTTAGAGGGACCAAGCCATGCCAATTTTTTTCAGCCGGGCTTGTCCCTCCATGTGCTTACTGATACGCTCTTTAGTAATGCTATCAAGCAGTTTACTCAGAACAGATGCTAAGCTGGTCTGTAATCTCCTGGATCACTTTTTAAAAATCGGTGCCAAAGTGCAGGTGTGAGGGAGGAAGCGTGGCAACCCAGAACCCAACTTATTTCTTACTGTGCAGGCAACACTGGGCACATGTGCGATGGAATAAATAAAAGTAGACCAGGGCTCATGATTAGATTAGATTTCTTTGAACTTGTTCTATTTCAATATTTTGTAATTTTCTTTTAGCTGTTAATTCTAGTATTATTTTGTTTTCTCTACTTTTTATACACTTTCTAATTCTTTAATTTCCTCTTCTGATCTCGTTATATATTGCTCTTTTTTATATGATATGACCTTCCTTCAATACATTTAAGTTAACTTATTAAATGACACTCAGCACCTGCATTTCTGCAGGCCTCTGTTAGCCTTCACGCTGCCTGGGAGCCCTTCCCAGGCGTGCTACACAAGGCCTTCACTGAGCACTCCTGATCCTTCACTCCCAGAGCCTGCAGTGCCTTTTTGACAACACTGGTGTCCTCCAGAGCTTTTCTCATTTTCTCTCTCAATGGGGAAAAGGTACAACTAATTACGGGCAGGAGGAAAAAGAAGTGGCTGGAGAGGATACCAAGATACATGTGAGGCATAAGAGGCTGCTAGGAAGTACATTCCTCCATTTTTAATTAACTGCTTAACTGTTCACATTTAATTATATCCTACTTACTCCCAAAAGTGGGAATAGGAAGCTCTCTGCATTTAGCTTAGGGTCACAATCTTTTACCAGAGGGGGGAAATTAGCCCTGGCCTAGCAAGACATCAGCTTAACTGTAGTCTATAAACCATCACAACTGACTAGTAGAGGGAATATTCAGATAACCCTAGAAACATCCAGCTAGTCTGCAACATATACGAACATGTATTTAAGCTTCTACACCAACTCACTCACTACTGTTGCAACTTCAACAATTCTTGAAGGTGTTCTTCCCTAAAATCCAGTTAAGCTGCTTTTAAAATAGGCATGGCAGTGCTAAGAACAATTTTAAAGGAAAATGTACCATGTATGTTTGATCCTTAGGGTATAGCCTGTGGCAGCTGGGTGCTGCTTGGGTGGACCAAGGCTTTTTTTGGAGTCCTGGCCTGATCTCAAAACCTATTCTGATGCTGGACGTTTATGGGCATTCAGGGAAATGGAGAGGCTGTACCATGACACCACAAATCCTGGCGGGGGCGCAGCCTCCTCCCTTATGAGCAGATTAAAAACACTGAGATGACTGGGATTTATCCCCTAAGTCAGGGGTCGGCAACCTTAAACACTCAAAGAGCCATTTGGACCCATTTCCCTCAGAAAACACCAGGAGCCGCAAAACCCTTTTGACATCTGAAATGAAGATAACACTGCATATATTGTTTTTTACCTTTATGCTATGTATAAAAAAATGATAGTGTGTGGCATTTATGAAATCAATGAACTGCTACAGAGAAAACAAATTTGTATTTCTTCATGCAACAAAAACATTTTGAACCCCCCAAAAAAAGACACTGGGTTGAAGGTTACTTTCAAATAAAATACTTAATGTCTATTTGAGTCCTCTTCGTATTTATGAAATAAAAAGCCAAACTTAAATTATGATTTTTGCACAGATCAACCTTCTGCATCAGTTCCGAAATGGCTTTTTTTCCTCTCATCTCCATCTGGATATTTTTCAGCAAAGGCTGTGTGTTTATTCTGGAAATGACTGCAACGTTCGACTTTTTGTTGTTTGCCAATTTCTCACCACATACTAAGCATACTGGTAAACCAGTCTCGACAGCAGTGAAAGCAAATGAATCTGCCCACCTACCATTAAACGTTGTTTTCTTCTGAAACTTTTCTTTTCTTGGATTTATCCATGGTTGGCCTACCGGGGGTCAAAAAGCTCAATAAATCGCGTGCCGGTGTGTGTCGCACATTGGCGGTTGTGACGCATATTTGGAGCAACAGGGAGCCGCAGCAGAGGGATGAAAGAGCCACAAGCGGCTCCGGAGCCGCGGGTTGCTGACCCCTGGCCTAAGTGTTCTGAAGGGCAATGGGGCTGCAGAGGCGATCCTCCTGCCCTCCCCAGAACACCCCCTGAATTTGGGGGGTTAAGGGCAGCTGCACAGAATTGCATTGCTAAAAACCAATACTTGTAAGATAAGCCAATGACAAATCTAAAAGGTGTGTCCTGCTTCTTTATTCACTCTCTTTCTCTCCAGGAAGTGTCTCAGCCACTCTGCTCTTTGCTGCTTTTCCACTCTGCTGATCATGAAGGAAGGTGCATGGGATCCACTTACCTCTCGCAGGTGCTTCTAATATCCTAGAAAGGAAAGAAAGAGCGGAGGGAGCACAATAACTGCTCAAGGTCACCCCATGGAGAGCCCTCACTCCCTAGCAGGTGGTGCAGTCTGCAGTTGGGCCCCAAAGGGCAAAGCACTCGTGAAATGGGAGGTGGTAAACCTTTACAAAATGGGCTCATATTCTTTTGAGACAAAGACGTCATCAAACAAAATGGAGCCATCCTGGAGACAGGCAAAGCCGAGCTTGGTAGCTTACTTAAACAGAAAACCTGGAAGGTGCTAATGTCAAATATCGGCCAAGGAAAAACAAAGTATTTCCCCTCTGGGGTGTGCAATGAATGTTGTGTACACAGTTTTGCTGTCTCATGGCTGCCAAAAACTTCACAGGCTTCCCTCACCCACTGCACACACAGCCCTCTACCTTAGCTTGGAATCAAGCCGTGGAATCAAGCCCCGGATGCTCCTTGGGTACCACTACAAAGCTATGGGGGTTGTTCTAGGAAGGGACAACACACAGCAGGGGAACATTCAGTTCTGGCCATTCAGAGGTTGCAGGACTGCATCTCCTGTCCTCTCTCACTTCTGCCTACACAGGCTAGGACTGACAGGAGACGCAATCCAAAAACCACAGGTTGGCCACCTCTTCTCCAGTCCTGCCAGGAGTAAAGCCAACCCATCGCAAGCTTAATCTGAAGTGTGTTCAGCAGGGCTTACTCCCGAAATTGAACACTGTGACCCAAGTCAGTAGCCGTTTCTTTTCCCCACAAACTGTGCCTCATTTTCATGCAGGAGGATGAAATTTTGTAATCCCTCGGCACCAGATTACTTTCCAGCTCGCTGCTAGGGGCTAGATGTCTTCTGAGAGACCCTCCTCCCAAAGCCCCTCACCCTGACATCAAAGCAGAGTTTCCCCACACAGAGGCAGGTGGCAACCAGTGCTGTGTCTTGGATTTTTAGGAAATGGCTTGTTTTTGCATTCCTGGAGTTGCTGGGAAGGCTGTTGAGAAATTGCTAACCTGGCTCTCTTGAAACAGTATAGGAAATCTTATTATGAAATGCAGTGCCAATGGTTTAATGAGAAATAATCAAGAATTTCAAAATGTAAATATGTAAAGATAATACTTGCATTACAGCTAAGATTTGTGCAAGTTCACAATGAATTCTGTGTAAGTGGCATAAACATAATTGTCAAGATGACGTAGATGCTATCTGAAGAGTTAAAGCCCCGTCACTCGGCTTTGGGGTTCTTCGAAGAACGAACAGATCATTCCTGTTGTTATTACTGTGGGTCAAAAGTACAGCTAGAGTTTTCATTCATTAACTGAACAAAAGCATTAAGTATAAACCTCAAAAGCATGATAAACAGATGTCCAGAAAAAATAATAGATTTACATATAATTAGTTCAAGACGTCCTAATTATTGGAACGATAGCTCGAAAACACGTCACAGAGGCCAAATCTATACCATCCTTCTCAGCACAGAGAAACTTGGAGAGGCAGCTACTCTTGGCAGTAGAGAAGGGCAGCCTCTTTCTACCACCAGGAGAGGAAACCTCTGCTGCTATCTTTGATCAGTGAGGGGAGATATCTGCAGAGTTTCTCTGCTATGCAACAAAAGCTTGGCCCTCCTCTACGGGGGTGAGGAAGCAGGGCATCTCCAACCTCTGTAGGTTATATAGGAACCCATCCAGGGCCAGAATATGTGCATCAGGCAAACAGTAGGGGGGTGAATGACAACAGATTCCGCTCACCCTAAACAGAAGTCTCCAAAGCAGGCTAGTCCCCAGTAAGGCACACACATAATTCTGTGCATTAAAAGCCTGGTCGCTGGCAATCCTTGCCTTCTTCTGCAGGATGGACTGCCATGGTCTTACCTGCAGAAATTCACTTGCTGGCTGTTGCCTTTTCCCCTCCAACTCCTGGATCAATCTTTCAAGAGAGGGGAGTTCTTTGGAGAGCATGGCTCATCCCTTTCTTTCGGGATTGCCTTATGCAGCTCTGCCATGTTGCGCAGCAGGCATTTCTCTTGCTCTTCCAGAAAGCGGTGCAGCTGCCCGAAATCAGCCAAGGCCTTCTCCCTCTCTGTCTTTGCATGCATCTGCAACAAATGGAAAGGGAAGCAAAGCAGGCCAACTACAATCGGCCTTTGCAGCAACCAGGAGCAGGGGAAGAGAATTCTGTAGGAAGGGCACCAGTGGTATTCACTGGTGAATACTGAGATTCAGTGAGGAAAGACTCTCTTCAAAGACATACATGAACCTGCTCCTAGAGTGGCCTTCCATGGACATTTTAAATGCAAATCATTCCCAAAGATAGGTAACTTGAAAAGCTGACTGCTGGTTGTTTTTTGCTCTTTCCTTTAACTCCTACTGCAGGTCCATTCCATTGTTGCTCATATATTTTTTAATCATTTATTTCACTTCTATAGAACCCAATGGCCAGATTCTGTGGGTGGTTTACAATAGTTGTTTTCTTCCTAATAATGGTGATACTTACCAGCAGGTCTTGAATTTCCTTTTCTGTGGCTGCTTTTTGCTTCAGGATTTGTGCTTTGTATATTCCCATAATTTCTACCTGTGAACAGAAAAACTCCTGGACAGAAAACGAAAGTTTATCGTTGGTTGTCATCGAAAAACTGAGAAAAATTATTGAGTGACATAGTGAGAGAGCTGGGCTGGTACCAGGGGTATTGAGGGGGTAAAACGTATGTCGTCATGGCACTCTTTGACTCATTTTAGGCCAGTCACCAACTCTCAGTCTAATTGTTGCCATGATGAAGTGGAGAGGAGGAGGATTATGCAGGGTTCCTTGAAGAGAAAATGGCAGGATAGAAATGGAATAAATAATCACCCGCCAATTTTAGACCAGTGTTAAGGCTATCATATGTTGGTACAAGCTCCTCCACAAAGCTAGGAAGTTGCAAGCCAGGCCAAGCCCCTGGGCCACAGGCTGGCACTGGTCCATGGCCTGTTAGGAACCGGGCCGCACAACAGGAGGTGAGCAGCAGGCAGGCAGAGCTTCCTCTGTATGTGCAGCCGCTCCCCAGCACCAGCATCACCGCCTCAGCTCCACTCCGATCATCAGGCACTGGATTCTCTAGCAGCGCAAACCCTACTGTAACCTGCCCGTGTGAGGGATCGAGGTTGCGCGCTCCATATGAAAATCTAAATCTGAGGTGGAGCTGAGGCAGTGAGTGGTGTAATTATTTCATGATATTTTACAATGTCATAATAACAGAAAGTGCAGACTACATGTGATCTGCTTGAATCATCTTGAAACCATCCCCCACCCCCACGGTGCGTGGAAAAATGGTCTTCCACGAAACCGGTTCCTGGTACCAAAAAAGTTGGGAACCGCGGCCTTACGCACCTGCCTGGGATCAGCCATGAGGTGGTGCAACGCACAGGCCCTGCTTCCTTACCACCTCCCCCCCCCCCCCCCCCCCCCCCCCCCCCCCCCCCCCCCCCCCAGGCCAAATGAGGGTCGGAGAGCAGGACAGCAGCAGCTCTGCGTCGCCTTAGGAGCGAGCTGAGCTTCCCGCACTGCATGGCCAGAGGAACAGCCCGGGCCTGTCTGCCGGCATTTTTCCGTCGCTGAATCCCGCTTGCTGGCGCAATGCCATGTCCGCCAGCCAGCGGCCTGCCTCACCCCGGGCATGCTCAGTCCGCCCTGCGCGGCTG